AAGTCGAGAAAAGCTATCTATCAACAAAAATTGTCGAGCTCGATTCCATTCAGCTCGATGACACATCAACAACACGGTAGCCTCGAGAAACTACTTTCTAGTTGGAGCCAAGGTTTTCAAGTCAAGAGAAAGATCTGGGGAAATCTCTCAGCTTAGTACAGCATAACTCAAGTCGACAAGGGTTATATGTATATGAAAACTTTCGAGTCTGATTCTATTCGGCTCAATGACGTATCAACTACTTTTCGATTAAAGTTTAAACCAAGGTCTTTAAGTCAAAAAGAAGATCTGGGTGACAAGAAACCATTTTCCAGCAACATAGCTTAAGTCGAGAAAAGCTATCTTTCAACGAAGACTTTTGAGTTCGATTTCGTTTAGCTCGAATGCCTATCAACCACATGGTGGAGTCAAGAAACTATTTTCTAGTCGAATTTTTAAACCAAAGTCTTTAAACCGAGAAGAAGACCGAAGTTGACTACAATTTGGCAATAAGAAGCCAAATTCCGATTCAAATTCTGAACTAAAGCTTCAATTTCATATCATTTCAAGACATACTCGACTTCGCGACAGAGGAGTCATCTGCAACTCAGTTCGATAGGGAGTTATTCTTAATTGAAATATCATAGTCAATTTTTCAACTCCACCAAATGAAAATATGTGTCTTTTTGTCTTTGTCCTATCTTTCGTTCCACAAAAAAGGACAAAGAGGGGTAGTTGTAGACACTCATTTTCGTCCGTATATTTTTTTATTTTATTTTATATAAATATATATATTATAGTTTGCAAATTATTTTTGAAATAGATATATAATATACAGTTTTTGAAAGTATTATATATTATATAGTTTTTTAAAACATTTTGGAAACATATATATAATATATAGTTTTTAAAATACATTTTGAAAACTATTTAATATATAATTTTGAAAACATTTTTAAATATATATATAATATATAGTTTTAAAATATTATTTGAAAACATATATATTATATGGTTTAGAAAATAATTTTTAAAAGCATAAATAGTATATAGTTTTTCAAATGTTTTTTTCTTATATATATATATATATATATTATTTTATTATTTTATTTTATTATTATTTTATTTATTATTTTTATTTATTACTCATTTTTTTCTTTTCAGGTCCAAAATTGAGGTACAAGCAGTCCAAGAACTGGGCCTGAACCAGCCTAGCAAGGGTCTAGGATTTCACGTGTGAGCCTAGCGCCGCACAACAACGGACTGTCAGATCGAGATGGGGATCAACGATTAATATTGAAAAGAATTTAGGGTTTGTTTAACCCTCAAATAATCATCAACCTGTAGCCGATCTTGGGTGGCTTTCAATCTTCTAAAACCCTTTATCTTGGACCGTTGGATTTGATCCAATCTAACGGTAGAGATCAAGGGTTCCAGAAGATCAAAAGCCACTAGTCGGTCGAAGATTTCGGCGATGTGTAGCACAAAAGTCAGAGCTACTCAGACTGAACCATCCGAGATCACCAAGAACAACCCTGGAATATCCGGGATCGACCCCAAAAGTAGCCAAAAACAACCCCATCGGGGCTATATAAATACCACACTGAATCATCGGTGAAAGTGGGAAGCATCATCGAGAGCCACAACCAATCAATATCATCATCGAGCCACAAGAACATCACAGCAATGAACAACCGAGAACCAACACACAACAAAAACCAGATTGAAACAATAACCAAAGACCGAAGCCCCACAGCAAAAAAACAAAAAAAATAATCAAAAATCAAAAGCCGATCAAGACAAGAATCAACCAAACCGAAGAAGTCACCGAAAAAAAGAAAAGTTGTCAGAAAAGGTAAAACAACCCGAACGGTTTTTCCTAGATCTACGTTGATTCGTGGTGTTTATGTGGTTTTTGGCTTCAGATTTTTATTGGGGGTGTAGAGGGGAACATTTCGGTGTGCTTGGAATTTTTTCGGCCGTCGGAGGCAGTGGTGTTATAGCGGGGAGGCCACCGGACGATGGCCGGATTTTAGCCGAAGAAGGAGAAGTTGAGAGAGTTCTCACACACTCTCTCTCTCTCTCTCTTCAATTTTGAAATAAGGTGAAAATGAAAAGGGTTGGACCATTTTGGCCTTTGAAACTTATATATATATATTGAAAACAAAACTACGTCGTTTTAGCCTCCCATACCTGTGTTTTCAAACCTTTAAGGGGATAATCTCCCTTTTGGTCCTTCTGGGTTTGTAAGTTGTTGTTTCGATTCAAAATGGAAAGGACTATTTGTGTGTTTGAGCCCTTCATGTTTCTATTTCTATGTTTTGGTCACTGATTTGGTATGAAGATTTAGGTTTAATTATTATTTAGTCCCTACCCTTATTTTTTTTTATTATTTTGTTTTAACTTTTTTATTTCATTTCCCTTTTTTCTTTTTTTCTATTTATTTTATGTTATTTTTTTCTTCCTTCTAAAATTTAACATTTTTTTTATTTTGGTACGTTTTTTTTTCTTTTAACATTTTTAACACTTTTTTCTCCTTCTTTGATTTAGTTATTTATTTATTTTTCTTTTTATTTAAGTAATTTTTATTCGATATTTCTTTTATTTTACTATCTAACATATTTTTTTCAGTAGTAATTTTAATCAATTGAAGGTAAATAATTCGAATCGAATGTTTTAAATTTCAATTTTAATTTTCGCAATTAAAGACAACTGCCAAAATTAATTGGTACCGAAAGGGCAGTTCAAGGGTGCTAATCCTTCCTTGACCATAACCGACTCCTAAACCCAACATATTTCTGGTAAAACTCAGATCAGATAAGATGGTGTCCGATCCACCTAAATGTTTTAAAATGATCGGTGGCGACTCTAACCCAATTATTCACGTCGAAACCCAATTCTGGACATAACCAAAAGACGGCCGCGACAAGAACCAAACCATAAATGAATATGAAAAAACTAACCAGGATCTAATCATGTCAAATCATCAAGAATAAATACTAGATTAGTGGAAACGTACCTGAAACCATGGTTGGAGGTTACCTAGAAGATTGAGTTCTTGAATATTGCCTTTTGGTTGTAATCTTCCGAGAAGATAGAATTCCCTTACGGGTAAGAGCCATAACCCCTTTATATAGCCGATTGAATTAGTTATTGTCTGTACTTATAACTCTTCTTCTCATCGAATTATAAATACAACTTTAATAGTATCTACACTTTTATTTCCATAACACTTTTACTATATTATGATTTTATAACATAATTGGTCACTTAATTTATGTAATATTTATGATAACAATATACATTATAAATATGTTCCTATAATTATGGATTTTAATCCTCTACTTCTTACATAACATCTTTCTCTCTAAAAAATAAAAGATCTTTTTAACTGTTTTTTATTGACAACTTACCTAATTAAACATTTAATACAACTCGAGAATGACTGATTCAAGTATCCACATCCCACCAGCCAAGTTGTTAAGAAAATACTAGTTACACTAGACCAAAATCAATATTTTTAATACCATAATGTAATAATTACTAAGGTTTAATTCATTCGAACGTCCTTAAATTATGGTTTATATTCTAAATTATTTCCAAATTGCTTTAATTGAGCCTTCAATATATAATATCCTATCACAAAAAGTTTTCTATTTGCACGAATCAAGTGACCTCTTTAGTAAAGGAATTATTTTTTTGTGTGGATAATTTAGAATTTTATTACCCAAAGAATAGCATAAAACTGCTACAAAACCAATACAATCAAAAGATCAAAATAAAGGGGACCCTAATTACAACAAAAATCATACTATACCCCAGTAATTACAAAGAGATAGGTTGTTTCTATCTAATCTATTAACATTCCTATTACTAAGTTGAGTTCCTACAATATGCTTGATTGAGTCTAGAATCTCGTCCTTGGATCTGTAGGTTCCTCTAAAAAGTCTTCAGTTCCTTTCTTCCCATATGTTATAGTTGATGGTGCACCAAGAAAGCTTCAAGATACTAGTAAGAAACGATTTTCCTTTCCATGTGCTATATGCCCAAACTAGCAGATCAGTCCAATTAAAAAGAAGTTTATGTATACCTGTGAGTAGAAGAATTGAGTTCCAGATTGAAGCAGTTGTCTTACATTCAACAAAGATATGGTCTCTGGATTTCCTTGCTTCAGAACAGAGAATGTACTGATCGTTAGTGTCAATTCCAAATCATTGCAACCTATCCTTTGTGGGAAAGTGATCCAAGATTACCATCAAAGAGATTAAATTGTGCTTGGGAATGTGAAATGAAAACCAAATCAGATTAGGCCATGAGACTTTACTGTTTTTCTGTCGAACCTCTTCCCAAATCTGTTTGGTAGTCATTGCTCCATAAGCAAGAAGAGGTCGAGCAGTTGTTCAAAGTTTCATGATTTTCCTTGGGAGCCAACTAGAATTAAGAGGTTCTTCTATGACCCAAAAATCATGGTCATTGATTAAGTAGTTGTGAATCTAAGCAATCCATAGTGAACCCTCCCCTGCAATTAATCTCCTAATGAGTAGCAACATGTATGATTTGTTCCACGACTTGATGTCCTTGAGATCAAGTCCACCTTTAGACTTTGGATTGCAAATTCTGTCCCAGCTTACTCTTGCTCCCGCAGCTGTAATGTCAGAACCATTCCAAAAGTATCTCGAACAAATTTGTTTAATTTTGTTGATAACAGATTGAGTCAAGATAAGTTGCCTACACCAGTAGTTGGCAACACTAAAAATGACTGTTTTTATCAGCTCCAATCTGCCAGCATAACTCAGCTTCATCCTGGACAATTGAGGAATTCTGATCTTGACCTTGTCGATGAGAGGCTGTCAATCTTTAACAGTAAGTTTCCTTGTGACCAGAGGTATACCCAGGAGTCTGACCAGAAGTGTTCCATGCTTAAAACTAGAAGAATTAATAATAGTTTCAAGAGATTGAATTGAAATTCCAGCAGTAAAGATTTCACATTTAGCAACATTAAGTTTGAGACCTGAAATTTCCTAGAAGTAGTCAAGAACAGTGGTGACTCCCATTAGAGATTCTAGATTGACTTTGCAGAAAATTAGTAAATCATCAGCAAAAGTTAAGTGAGTAAGATAGATTTTCTTGCATTTAGGATGGAAGCTAAAAATCCCTTTTGTAGTAGCATTATTGAGTAATTTAGAGAGGATATTCATCACCATAACAAACAAAATAGGAGAGAGGGGGTCACCTTGTTTAAGACCCTTGGCACCCTTAAAATACCCAATCAAGCTTTCATTGAAGGCTACGGAGTAAGATGCAGCAGAGTAGCAGGCCTCAATCCACTCTATGAAAATATTTGGAATAGCAAGAGCCTTTAGAATGGATGGAATGAAGCTCCAGTGAATTGAGTCAAAAGCTTCTTGAAGATCAATTTTCAAAGCACATCTAGGTGAAATTGTTTTCTTCCCATATCCTTTCATAATTTCTTGGTCAAGAAGAGTATTGTAAATAGTACTCCTTCATTTGACAAAAGTAGATTTATTAGAGGAAATAATCTTTAGCAGCAGGTGAGTCATCCTATTAACAATGATCTTTGTGATGGCCTTATAGATTACAGAGCAACATGAAATAGGGCGAAAAATCTGAAACTTTGTTGGGATTTAGAATCTTTGGGACCAAGGCAATTGTAGTGTCATTAAATGCTGGGTAAATGTAAGATTCATGGAAGAAAAATTTAATAGCTTCAATCACTTCATTTCCTACCACTGGCCAAACTTTTTTGAAAAAATGATAGGTGTACCTGTTAGGGCCTGGAGCCTTATCATTTCCTTGACTGAAGATTGCCTCTTTGATCTCTTCACAAACGACTTCCTTAGTGAGGCCATCATAGTCTTTAGAGTGGGGATAGGAAGCATGAGGTCTTTAAGAAGACTGGTGGAGCAATCTTTAACATTATGATCATAAGAGCCTAGAAGTCTTTTAAAGAAATTAACTACTTCTGAGGGCATATCATCGAAAGTCTCTAGCCTTCATCCCTGGTCATCAACAATCACTCTTATAGTGTCTTTTTTCCTCTTAGTTGCAATGACTGAGTGAAACAATATGGTATATTTGTCTTCCTCTTTTAGCCAGTGAATTTTTGTTTTTTTTTTGCTTAAGAAACATTGCCTCAACTTTCTCTAAGGAGTTAGTTCATTTTGTAATTCCAGCTCTTTATCAATAAGCTCAACACCTCTTAAGGTAAGGATTTGTTGTTTCTCAATTTCATTTCTCTTAAGTCTGACTCGAGCAGAGATGTCACCATAGTAGTCATTCTTGAGGATTTTGAGACTAGCTTTAAGGCGTTTAAGCTTAAGAAAAAGTTTCTTCATAGGATTTTCTTGGATTGGCATAGACCGAGACTGGCTAACAATATTAAGGAAATTATGATGAAGAGTCCAACAATTAAAGAATTTAAAAGTCTTGGCTATATTAGTTTGAACCTCTTTGTGAAGAGACACCAATGCCATACAATGGTCAGAAGGGCTAGGAGCCAAGAATTCCACGAAATAGTGAAAAAAGGATTTAGACCATATAGGGTTGGTGAGAACTCTGTCAAGTTTACGAGAAAGAAAATTATCTTTTTTCTTGTTACTCCATGAGTATGTAGACCAAGATATGGATGGTCTTGGAGGTGAAGGTCATGAGAGATTTCTTGGAATTCAATCATTTCAGGAGATGTGACCATACCTAATTGCTCATGAGCAGAAGTTTAATGAGGATGACGGATGAAATTAAAGTCTCCTCCCAATATCCATGGAAGGTTACTAAAAGCATATTCAATATTTCGAATATCCTGCCAAAGATTCCTTCTTGTAATTCCATCATTGCAGCCATAAATTGCAGTAATTAAGAAGGGACTGTTTTTGAAGTAGCTTTTGACAGTGATACTCTGATCAGAGACGTGACATAGAGAGATGTTTATGTCTTTCCTCTATAATAACCAAATTCTACCACTCATTGCAAAGTCATAATTAGAATAAATATTCCAATTCTCAAAGTTGGAAGCTAATATGTCAGCAGATTTGTCTAACTTTACAAGGGTTTCCAATAAACAAAGGATATCTACTTTATTTAGGACTGCTCTTCTAAGGACCTTGCCTTATTTTAGAGGATTGTTTAATCCTCTAACATTCCAAAAGGAGATAATCATTAGGCTTGGGGTGAGGGAATTTGTTCCCCTCCTTTACTACCAACAATATAACTTTTGGACTTTTCAAGATTGGACTTTTTTTTGTTTTGAGTTCTTTGATCATGACTGCAACACCAGAGGTTGCTTTTCTGGGTTGTTTACCATGTTAATAAGAAATTGGTTAAGCCTCTTCAAACGAGGTAAAAATCTCAAACCTATTACTAGAGCCTATTAGAGCTTTGCTGGGTTTATTTTTTGGAGGCCTACCTCTACCTCTTTTGGTAGATGAAGAAGAAGAGGCTTGTAAACTGCCAGCAGGGCTTTGATGAGCTAGAATAATGGTATCATTAGCATCTTGGAGTACATGATCAGCTTCTGGACAGGGAGAGGAGGGAGAGGAAGTTCCATGGGAATGGAGATCATCCAGAGAAGTAAAGGAATTATCAGAGGAATGAAAATCAGAACCTGGTTGATCACTTGTTTGATATTCCTTTAATTTAATTTCCACTGAACTGTTAGAAGCTGACTTTGAGGCCACCTTGTCTTCATTGTCTTCTATTTTTTGAAGTTGAGAAGAATAAGTGGCATCTTTTTTCCTCCAAACTTCGGTAGTAGTGTGAAAGGTTAAAGGGATAGCCTTGCAACCTTTAGCACTATGACCGAATGAATTACATGATTTACAACAGGGTGGAAACCAAGGTACTTCGACAAATATGGAAGTTGTTTTGTCCATTGTTCAAAATAACATCAACTTGTTTAGGGATCACATCCAAAGCCCCAATTTCAACACATACCTTAGCAAATTCTAGTCGAGACTTAGAAACTGTAATAGAGTCCATAGAGAGAGGGAAGCCTATGGCCCTAGCGATGTAGCTTAGGCCTTCATTTGAGAACAATTCGAGTAGAACATTATACAAATAAAACCACATAGGAATTTTAGATAAGTCAAATTATAGTTTTTTCATGTTAGGTTCCCACTTTCTAAGGATTAAGGGCTTGTTAAATACATGCCAAGGGCCGTTTTCCAAAACCTATTCACGAGCAGATTCATAATCGAAAGAAAACAGGTAAAGATTAGGTCCAGCATAACTGACTTGAACTTTGGCACCTTGCAAGGGTTTTTTCCACAAGCTTTCAATAATCTTCTGTAAAGATGGAAAGTTCGGAGTTGCCCCGAGCACTTGCCCAACGAGAGAGATTTTCCACTCAACAATTCCTTCTTCAAATACTTCAGGCGATTGATGAACAGTTGGTGTCCCATCTTTTTCATTTGGAGAAAATATCGCAATTGCTAACCGACGGAACAGGAGAAAAGTTTGCGCCAATCCATTTAATAACCGGGTGGGAATAAAATAACTTGAAGAACAGCATGTGTAACATCCTGAATCAGCGTCAGTGACTAAATTGCAAATTTTGAAAAGTATGTGCTCGATTTCAAAATAAGTTAAAAGTTCATGGATTTTATTGAAGAAATTTGATGTTAGATTTAATAGTAAAGTTTGGAAATAACAAGGGTATTATGGTCTTTTTTAAGAGAAGATATTTATTATCTTTTTAAGGGATATAAAAATGTGAGAAATGAGGGATGTATCCAAAGTCTTCTTCCTCAGCTTCTTCTTCTCCCCGTAAGCCTCAGTTAAAGGTAAGTATAATTTCAGCTGTTTAATTCTTGGATTTATAAGTGGTTTTGATTCTTTGGGTGTTATATAAGCTTAAGGAAAGCTTATATAAGCTTTAAACATAAAAAATAGTGAATTAAGAGGAAATTATATGAAGGGTGTAGAAATGAATTGTTAGAATAAAGAGGTTTTTGAAGTTCTAATTATGAATTTGACTTGTCATCTATGAGAATAAAAAACTAGAAGTGTTAGAATTAAGTTTGGGTAACATGGAAAATTTGGTTTGATTATTGATTTCTATATGGAGAATAGAATTTTGAGGTATAAGATGAAATAAATGGGTATAAATTAGTTTAAGTATGTATATTTGAGTTAAGAATAAAAAAAGGGTTGAAATATGATGAATTCAAGTTGGAATAGTGAATTCTCGTAGTTGATCAGTGATTCATGGGCTAGGGGAATCGGTACCCATTCAAGGGGGAACCGATCCCCTTCAACCGAACCAGAAATTCCAGAATGTCATAGGGGAACCGATTCCCCCACATTAGGGAACTGATTCCCCCCTAAAGGAAAGTTGTGAATATTGGTTTAATAGGTTCGTTTAAGTTGCTAATATCCAATTACAAGGTGTAGGTATCTAATAATGGCCTTAAAATGTACATTTATGTAGATTCTAAGCGTAAAGCAATTCCATAATATTTGGTAAGTAAGATCGATCAAGAAAAAGATAAGAGATCGATATTGACTAGTGAGGCCAGGTGAGTGCGTATTATTATAATATACGTATTGTATATGGAAATTGGACTTGCGACAAGTTTGTTTCCAATATGATTGTAGGAGTAGAAGTATGATTATGTTTGATATTGTGTGAATATGTTTTGTTCGTATTATATGTTATGTGGTATGAATTTATATGATATGTGTTATATGACAATGATTTATGTATTATAGGAAAATTGTTATATGAGCTATATTAACATGGGATATAAGTTATAGGATCACAAATTATGTAAAGTAACCACGACTTATGTGTTAACAAGAGAAAGTGACATAAAATATGGAACAAGATATAAATTACATGATTTAGATATAAGGGAATTGGTGGAATCAACTTAAGGGATTAAATAAAATGTGAGATAAGTTAAATAAAATTGACCTATAGAACAATATGAGATTAATATATATATATTAGGAGATATTGATAGAACTGGTTATAGGGATATGTAAGATCAATTATATGGTAAAGATCTATGAAGCTATAGGAAGATGTTATAGGAGCTTTTGATGATAATTTATTAGAAGACTTGCATATGTGATAAGTATGTGAAACTGAATTAGGTAAACATGTGTAAAGGTTATATAAATAATAGAAACATAAATGAGACAAGTAAGTAATGATATGATCAATTATGGGAAATTGTGCATTAGAGTTATAAGATTTATGGAGAATGGAGGAAAACTAGATAAGATTGAACTATAAAAGGAACTGAGAATAATATATCACTTAGGAGATTTGGATATAAAGTGATGATATGCACATAGAATATAAAATACATGTTTATAAATATGACATAGGTTATGTGTTATATGATAAATATGAATATATGAGAATAAGAGATAAAATAAGTGACTTTGTGATGGAAGCTATATGACCATGAATGATGTGAATATGAATAATTTAAATACTATATAACTATGAGTATTTGAGTATGCATCTAGGTGATGTGATGTATGAGGTCGTATGAAATATTATAAGACTATGTGATTATATGAGAAACAAAATAGGTACAGGTGAATTATATGAAAATGAACTACGTGAATGGGTGTGATCTTATGAAAATTTATGATGAGCTATGTGAATGAACTATAAGATTATGTGTATATGTAATTATGAGAAGTCATAATAATAGAATGTAAGCAAGGTGTCAAGAAATGTAAAATGACACGAAAAGTTATATAAGCTACGTGATATGTGAAAGTGAACTATGTGATATGTGAAATGATAAGTATAAAAGAAAATGCCCATGTTATGTCTTGAGAGCTAGGGGTATAGTTGGCGTGCCAAGAGTCGAGGTCTACGCGGTCCTTCGGGACATATATGTATTCTTTGGAACATGTGTGAGGTCTTTTGAGACACATACTTGATCCTTGGCATATGTATATGATTCTTAAGGAATGATATGTGGTCCTTAGGGACAACCTTATATGGCACTTCAGTGCATTTCTACGCGGCACTATGGTGCAATTCTACGTGGCACTTCGGTGCAATTTATATGAGCTGTGGTGACAGAATTAGTGCACAACCTCTATAGACTCACATATCTATGGTTCTCACATGTGTACATGGGCTAATAAAGGAAATAATATAAAAAGAACCTTGCATGATAGTATGTAATTGGTTTGTAATCTTTATGGTGTGAAGTGATATATGTGATATGATGATGTGTATATAGCTTGGTTAAGAGGAATAGATGCAAGAACATATGACAAAAAGATAAAGAACGAAAATAAGACTAATAAAGAGATAATAATAAATACCTTACATATGATTTACATGTTTTGTGCTATGAAACCTATTATAAGAATTATATGATGTGATGTGTCCTTCCTTGAGAAATGATACGCGTGTTATGTGACAAAACTAATATAATAGGTACCAGATCAATTGTTAAATTGGATTACTTATAATGATATATGATAAGAATATGTGAATGGTGTGTGTGTACAAGTGGATAGTGGTTGCATGATAGAATGTATGATTGTGTATGATATAATAAGTATAGATTATGAATGCATTAGTAGTAATTATATGTTTTTATGCCTCACTAAGTCATCGACTTAGCGTGTGAGTATTTCACAAGTAGGTTCCGGAAAGCTAGAAGAAAAGTGAAGAGGAGAAAGACAGGTCAGTTACTTCTTACCGAAGATCAAATCAGAAAAGATGTCTTTAATTAGATGGATTCTGTATATTGAATATAGTTGGCATGTACTAATTGATTGAGTTAAATAAACCGTTGTGACTTTAATGAAAGTTTTAAATTTTCTCGAGTTTTTGTCATGAGTCAAAGTTTGAAAAGTCAATGTGACACCTCGGACTCGTATCCGGGTCGGGTACGGGTTGGGGGTGTTACAGCAGGAGAAACGAAAGAAGTCGGTGGTGATTCAGAGAGATCGTCGGTGACACTGTAGGGTTTTCAGATTCCATTAGACCCGTTAATGTGCACCCAGAGAAACCCACAAACGTGTGTCATTTATGAGAAAAGCAATTGTTTAAAGGAATTATTGTTTTTCCTTAAGGACTCATGTTCGAGCACTATAGGTGCTAGGGGTGTAGGCGTTCAACGTAAAAAACGTTGAGAATTATTTTTAAACAAATATTGTCTTATACTTATCACTGATTAATAAGAAAAATATCACATGAAGCATGTCTAAAATACAAAAATCAATTTTTAAATAAACCAATACACATAGACAATTTAGATTTGATGTGCAAAATAAAACTACTAAAATGTTAATGATATTATACGGTATTGTAACACCTTAGATTCAAAAGGTTTATCCAATAGGCATATATGTTTAAAATTTTACCCATATATTTTATAAATGCTCAATATTTGATTTCGGTTGTCACATATAACTGAGTAACTCCCAAAATGATGTATATTGAAATTAACCTAAATGATACTTAAAGTGTTGCTTTAAAGCTTATAGATTAATTTAAAATATAAATGTAGTTAAGGTATGTATGTTGACATTAACCCTTTTGTTAATAATTTATTAAAAATGAGAAAATAAGGGTCTATTTGGTTCTATAAAATATAGATTATTTCAATTTTCATTTTCATTTTCTTAATAAATAGAAAACATTGAAGAAAATGTGTTTGGCTGTGAAATTAGAAAATGATTTGAAAACAAAAATATATAAAATTATAAAAACACAAAAAAGATGTTTTTAGTATTTTCATTAAATTATTTTGGAATTTGAAAAATAGGAAAACATGAGGTGAGGATTTTTAACGTAACTTACACAAGTTTAAATTATTCTAACAATAATTTTTTGATTTAATGGTACCTAAAATCCTCAAAATTTTGCAAAACAAACAATATGGTCTCTAAACTTTTTTTTTAAACAATTTAACTTTATAGTTTTTTTATATTAAGTATATTGAACATCATAATAATTATTTATATTTTAAATTTAAATAATACCTAATTTTTTTAAAATTAAATAAGGTCTCAAACTTTCTAAAAAATCAATTAGGTCCTCAAATTTAATAAAAAAATCAATTAAACATATCTACTAAACCATCATCTATCGTGTATTGTCAAAATAATATCATGAATTATCACATCAATATCGTAGATTATCATATAAGCTCTGTGATAGTTTGATTTTGTTGGTCAAATGATTAAATATATTTTTTTCTCATTTTAACAATCACATTTAGTGTAAAACTTTTCAAGGGATACACTAATTTTTTTTTCAAAAGTTGAGGACATTAAATAATACTATATATATATATATATTCTTATTTCAATGACATTTTGTGTGTTTTTGTTTACAATAATATTTTTTGTGTATTTTTAAATTTAACTGATGTACCATATGTATTAATATTTATATTCTTATTATAAATTATAATAATTTTGTATTATAAACTTATCAACTTTATTGTTTTATATTTGCATAACTCAATTGTTAAATGTATGTAATTTAATTGTTTAATAACTATTTATTTATCTTTATTTTAAAAAATTATATATCAAATATTTTTCAATATTTTATTTTTGAATTCTAAATTTTCATTTATATTAACCAAACATATTTTTTTAATTTTAAAAAAACTGAAAATAAAAATAAAAAATATTTTTTAGAACCAGACCCTAATAGTCTTTTATTTGGAAAAGTAAAATCAATATAGGTTTCGCATGATTCTAAAGTCAAATTATCAATGTTTGTTGAATAAAAGTCACTCATGCTTGGATGTATGACCTGATTTTTAATTTATTTTAATTTTTTATTTAAAAAATTTAATTTTTTTAGAAAAAGCCTTAAATACTTAATTTCTCACAAGACCCTAAAATTATTATTACTGTTTATTCTAAAATCCCCTAAGCCCTCGCCTCGTCACCCTTTCTTTCAAATCACTAATACCATCAGATTCCTGATCGACCACCTCTTTTCACCTTCCCACAACCCGTTCTACTGATCGAATCCCAAATTCTACAAAATTCGTTTTTTTTTCTCGTGAATAACGCACATTCAGTTGCACACCATTCGTTTCTGTCAACTCCCGAGATACATGAAATTTAGAGGTTTAAGATTAAGTTTTATTCATGAAGTTTAGGGAATTTTAGGAAAAAAAATTAAGAGTTTTATGTTTTTAAATAAAATAAATTATAAAGCAAGCCACGCATCATTCGGTGTCTAATTAATTTTAAATCTTAAAATAATAACGAAATGAAAATTGGATAATTATTTTAACAAAAAAAAAGTTTAAATGGTTAAAGAAAAACATTGAATATTTATTTTTTAGTTAAACCTTGAAACTAAAGTGAAAAGCTCAACCTCTTGTTTAATGCCACGTAGTTTGGTCTATTTATTTAAACTAGCTGCCAGCTTTTTCAGTCTTTTTGAGGTCAATCAACTTATTGTATATAGTTTGCCATGGAAAACTGGAAACTACTCTATTGGTTTGCGATATAGCCTTGAGGATATATAAATTGTAAATCCACCTCCTTTCTATTGTTATTAATGGCGGGTCATTAAGACAGTAGATTTAATCATTTTAATAAATTTAAAATCCAACATTCATAACTTTTCCCCTTATTATGCTCTTTTTTTGAATAGAGATAACAATAATAATGATGAACTTCCTAAAGGTGCTAATCTTTTTAGTTTTCACTTTTCTAAAGAAAATGAAAAATTATCAATCCCTCTATCCAAGGGTTATATATATTAATTCGAATTACTTTTGTCAATCACGTGATCTAACTTAAGATATTAGTCGAAAGTTTTTAGAGTATATATCATTGCTTATAATCAATCAGCTTATAATATAAGAAATATCGAGCAATTTCTTTTCACTTCATTTATTAAATGTTGGTGGAAGAAAAAAAAAGTCTTTCATGTTTACAATGAAGCTTAATATTCAAGTTTTAGGTAACGGTGATTTTATTAGGTTGCTTTTCAAGAAGATTAGTTAGTTTCGGTTTCACATGCTAATCGATAATTCCTTTTGCTCATCTGACTAAAACAGCAAATCAATTCCCCAAAACAAAAGAAAAATTAATATGTATAGGGCAAGTCTACTTTTTAAGAAAGTGCTTTTAAATTGTACAAAAAGTCTAATATCTCATCACTTTCTTGGTTTGACTAGAAAACTAATAATTTTGATTGTAACCTTATCTTCTTCATTTGTCTTTAGACTAATATGCTTTATTTTCTTTCATCTTAATTATTTATATTCCTTTTAAGATATCTATATTTGATTTAATTATTATCATCTTCAATTTTTTTTTGAAAATGTGTGTTTTTATTTTGGAAAATAACGTGTTTGTTACCCTACAGAATCTTGATCATAATGATGGATTTTCTTGAAAATCAACATGGAAATTCTTATGAAATAAGCAAAGCATGTGAAGGAAAAGTATTCACAGATTAGTGGGTGCAACAACTCCTACAACAGGGTTGAATTGAACCCCAAGCTTTTTTGGCTGAGCATTTTGTTGAATCAAAAACCTTAACCCCCTCCAACTTCAAACACCTCTTCCCTATATAAACCCATCTCTCTCTGTCTCTCACTCGGTCAAACACATTCTCTAAATTGAAACAAAAGGTAAAATCTATGGAGAGTTTGAAGAATCACTGCCTTTCCATGGTTTTCCTTGTCATTTGTTCTGCAGCATTGTCCTTAGCGCTTCCCCAAGTTCAAAGACATCAATTTGTCGTATGTTTTCTTTTAATCTACTTCAATATTCCTTAATTGCTGCTGTTTCTAGTGAAAAGAAGTGACACTTCAGTATGAATGGAACAGATTCAAGAAACACCAGTGAAGAGGCTGTGTAAGACTCAGAGCAGCATCACCGTCAACGGCATGCTTCCTGGTCCTACTCTCGAGGTCCGGAATGGTGATACACTCGAAATCGAAGTCGTCAACAAAGTCCGATATAATGCCACCATTCACTGGTAATTAACTAGTACATTCACGCATGCATGCATGCATTTTGAATTATCATAACCGCTTCCATTTTGTATACTACAGGCATGGTGTTCGGCAAATGAGGACAGGATGGGCCGATGGACCAGAATTCGTAACTCAGTGTCCGATTCGACCAGGAGGGAGTTACACCTACAGGTTCACTATTCAAGGACAAGAAGGAACTTTGTGGTGGCACGCTCATAGCTCATGGCTTAGAGCTACTGTTTACGGAGTCATCATCATCCGCCCTAGGGAAGGCGAAGCCTACCCTTTCCCTAAGCCAATGCGCGAAACGGCAATCGTGCTCGGTGAATGGTGGAATGCTAACCCCATTGATGTTGTTAGAGAAGCAACACGGACAGGGTCGGCTCCCAATAACTCCGATGCGTATACAATCAATGGTCAACCTGGTGATCTCTATAAATGCTCCTCCCAAGGTTTGCTATATATATAATTCAATTCTAAGTTTGGATTCTATATGGTGTAGCAGGACATTGACCACCTCAACTTGTTTATTTTCCTTTTTCAGATACTACGATAGTTCCCATCGATGCGGGCGAGACCAATCTCCTCAGAGTGATCAATGCTGCCCTGAACCAACCGCTTTTCTTCACAGTCGCCAACCATAATCTCACCGTTGTTGGTGCTGATGCTTCCTACGTGAAACCCTTCACCACTTCAGTCATCATGTTAGACCCGGGCCAAACCACCGATGTTCTGATCAAAGGTGACCAGCCACCGGCTCGATACTACATGGCAGCTCGTGCCTACCAAAGCGCCAAAAATGCACCCTTCGACAACACTACCACCACTGCAATCCTTGAATACAAATCTGCACCTTGCCCTGCCAAGAAAGGCATCAATGGACCCAAACCAATCATGCCTCCTCTCCCTGCATACAAAGATACCAACACCGTCACTGCCTTCAGCCAAAGCTTTAGAAGTCTCCGGAAAGCTGAAGTCCCGACCGATATTGACGAGAATCTTTTCTTCACAGTTGGTCTCGGACTCAACAACTGCCCACCAAATTTCCCTTCGAGTCGTTGTCAAGGACCAAACGGCACTCGTTTCACCGCAAGCATGAACAATGTCTCATTCGTGCTCCCACAAAACTTCTCTCTGTTACAAGCACATCAACAAGGCATTCCAGGAGTATTCACCACTGATTTTCCGGGAACCCCACCGTTGCAATTTGATTACACCGGAAACGTAAGCCAATCACTCTACCAACCGATTACAGGAACCAAGCTCTACAAACTCAAGTATGGATCAAGGGTACAAATTGTGTTACAAGACACAAGCATCGTCACACCCGAGAACCACCCGATCCATCTCCACGGTTATGATTTCTACATCATCGCAGAAGGTTTTGGAAACTTTGATACGAAAACCGATACATCCAAATTCAATCTCGAGGATCCACCTCTCCGGAATACGGCAGCAGTGCCAGTGAATGGATGGGCAGTCATTCGATTCGTGGCTGATAATCCAGGCGTGTGGATAATGCACTGTCATCTGGATGTGCACATCACATGGGGCTTAGCTATGGCTTTCCTTGTGGAGAACGGTGTCGGAGAATTACAGACACTGCAAGCACCGCCGCCGGATTTGCCAATATGTTAGAGGATTCGTCAGCAGAGAAACAGAAGAATAATTGAAATTCATGTGTCCAATAATTTTCTTTTACTTTCAATTTTCTTAGCAAACAAAAGCAGTGTTATTTTCCCCGGCAATTGGGAGACTAGTAGAGGTATGCAAAACTACCCGACCCGTCGACCTGACTTAAAAAAAACAGGTAATTTTTTTAAAAAAAAAGTTTACCCGGCTGGGTCGGGTACACGATCCAACATTTCTCGGGTCGGGCCCGGGTCACAAAATTAAAGTTTTCCGGGTACCCAGTTACCCAAGTACCCAGTTAGTTTTTTTATTATATATATAATATAATGGATTATTTATATTATAGATTATTAGATTTTGTATTTCGAACTTTTAAATTTTATGTTTGGATGTTGGAGTATATAATTTGAAGTTTCGAATATTTAAATTTTTGTATATATTTTTTTAAATTAATAATTTGAAAATGAAAAAAAAGGGTACCGGGTACCCGAAATACGGGTACTAAGATTTTGAGAGATGTAAATACTTACATTGGTGTAAGTATGTGTAAGTGTTACATTTTTTTGTAGTATGAATTATGAAAAAATTGACAAATAATTAAAATAGGTTAACTTGTAACCGGAACTGTTAATAACGATTAACCGTTAGCGGTTAACCATTTTTTAATAGTTAGATTACAGTTAAAAAAATCTCATAACCGTTATAACTGTTAACCGACCCTTTAGACTAAACGGTACGATTAACCGTACATGTACAACCCTACTTGACATAGATAAAAGTGCCATGTTCTGTTGTATTCTTTTCCATACGGATAATATTAAAGATAAATTTGAAGCTTTTTTGGATTCTATGTTTGTTTTTCCATGTTAGAATTAAATGAGCAAAGATTAGAAGGAAAGAAATTGCAAGGATGAGTCAATTTGGGTATAAAAACATTTACATAAATAAACAAAATATGGAGTATGAATATTAATCATATATGTCCAATGCACGCCAAAATAACCAACTGAACAAGAAACGTAACTAAAATGGTCGGATCCGCATTGGCTTACACCACCATGATGTTGTAACACTAACACCCACATCCTTCCGATCCGTCACAGCCAATGCATCACCGATAACCCCAATATTTGGATACTGTGCCCAACCCATCAATGTTTGTAGTTACGGGATTGTATGGCGCTTTTCCACAACGACAAGGTCATAGATATATGATAAAGACCCAAGTGCTTTCATTACATCCTCGATGTCATGTGCTACGACTACCAAAATGACCATTGTTGACGTTCATTGCCTTGAAGTGTCTAAAAAGGTTGCTCTCCCTCTCTCTCCCTCTATTTGAACCTCCAACGTATTATGATTCGTTATTAAGTCGATCCTCAACTCGGTGATTCTAATATTCAGCTGTAACTTACAGTGACGGAGCTATATAGAGAATGAAAGGGACTCATTCTTAGTTTAATAGAATTTTAGGTTCTTATTAGTTTAAATTCAAGTAAAATTGGATTTTTACCCTCTCAAATTTCTAGATTATTTACATAATAAATCTTTATTATTTAAAATTAAGTACCCTGCTCATCCCAATATTTGATCTTGGCTCCATTAGCTCTGATCACCTTCACGTTGTAAGAGAAGGTAGTTAAACTAAAAGGGCTAAGCAAACCTCGATCGACTAGAAGCCCCACCCTGCACTTTGCAAAGGTTTAGATGATGGAAACGAAAATCCGCAAGCTACCGCTTCTTCGGTATTGGAAAAAGGCATTATAGTAAGCGGCACATGCATCTTTTCGCCGAACCACCAAATGGACTGATGCATGAACTTATAGGACGAAGTTAGGACTCTTAGATGTCCAAGATGGAATTAAAAAAATTTGGGGAGGGACAGGAATATCTATTGAGGCAAGCATGAGCCTTGGCTGCCTCTGTTTAATGGTATAATTATACTTTTAGCTCTTCTAAAAATTAATTATTCAATCTACTGTTCTTTTAGCTCTTTAATTAAAATTTCATTTGTGGCCCTTCAAAAATTATTATTTTATACTTTTGTCCCGAAATATATTTATTATATTAGAATAGGAACCACTATTTTTGGGCAAATCATGAAAATATTGTGTTAAAATGGCTTAAAATGAATAATTAAATTATAATAGGGGTTAAAAATACAACCTTATCATTTAACCTAGGGCTAAAATATGATTCGTCCTTTTTGAGTTCCCAAAATATATGCATTAGCAAAGCATTACTAAATGTTAATATAGGTTTAAAATATCAATACAAATCTAATATTAAATATTTTTAGAATAAGTAGATTAAACTATAAAGGCTTAATAAAGAAAATAAAAGTTTAAATTATATCTTTTCTCATTTTAGATGTTTAAAATATTTATCGTTCAACATAAGTGTCTTACGTTCAGTTCATAAAGGATGTTAACAAACTCTTATCTAACACATAATACATTTATATTTTTTAGGGTAAACTACGTGTTTAGTACGTAAACTATCAGTTTTGATATGTTTTTATACCTAAACATTTAATTTTCAAAACTATCCATAACATTTAATTTTTGTTACATTTTAGTACCATGTCGTTAAAAGCATAATGTTTTAGCACTTAAACTATCAATTTTGGTCCGTTTTAATACTTGAACTTTTCATTTTTTTCAAAATTTAACTTTAAATTTTTAACAAGGTACTAAAATGAAACAAAAACTAAACATTAAATATTGTTTTATGAAAGTTTAAGTAACGAAAATTGATAATTTATGTTCTAAACACATAATTTACCCAATTTTTTAAATTTTATTTTAAAAAACTAAAAAATATTAATTTTTTTGAAATCCTAAAATTTTCTAAATTGTCATAAAAATTCCTAAAACTTCCAAAATTCAAAGCATCAACCTTTATCAATCATCTCTTATCGGCCGTCCCGTTGTTGCCCCTAAATTGCAACCCATTCATCAATGACCAAATGCTAATTTATCCTAATGCACCAAACTTTTTTTTTGGAATGATAATGCACCAAACTACGAAAGGTCAAAAGGTGACTAAACGGTCAAATGATCGATTCTCATTGTCACTGTCACCATTGCATCAAACGATCGGCTAAAGAGATTTTGTGGGTTTAAGTGTTTGAAATTTTAGAAATTTAAGTTTAAGAATTTGGGAGATTGAGATTAGGGTGATGACAAGAAGTGGGCAACAACAGTTGGGTGACTATTCATCGATGGAAACCAATAAAATAGCAGCGGCTGTCGAGAAGGGTAATAGGGTGATTTTCCCCAAACATCACCTGACAGGTCTTTATTTCTCTGTCAGACACCCTTTTATCTTTATTTCCCGATCTAATACATTTTTGCAAGAAGACGACATGTGCACATGGAAGAAGGCGTGACCCATGCAATATATTTTGTGAAACATGTAAAAAAAGGATGTTAGTTTTGTAAATATTATTAACATGATACCTAATATGTAATTAATTTCTGTTAGGGTAATATTTATGTAAAAACGTCAACATTATTTATTTATTTTTGTGTCATATTATTTTTTAACATCAGTTAATAATGTTTATTGACTTTTAAAATTAATTGTTTAAAAATATAAAATATTAATATAAACTTTTAATTACAATTGATAGATTAAATGAATTATTATTTACTTTTTAAAAAAATCAATAAAAATGCAATAAAAAAGAATTGAAAGTGAATAAAATTCAATAAAAAAATAATGTAAAGCTAAAAATTATTAAAATTCAATAAAAAAATAATGTGAAGCTAAAAAATATCATCTCTTTATTTAAAATATTTTTCTAATATTAATTTTTAAAAAATATAAAATAAATATTAAATTCTAATTTTATTAAAAATGAATAAACATTATTAATTGTTGTTAAAAATAATAATTAATGAATAATAATTCATTTGATCCCTCAATTGTAATTAAAAGTTTATTTTAATATTTTATTATATTTTTAAACAATTAATTTTAAAAGTTAATAAATTTTTCAAAAATATAAGAAATTTATAATTTTTTAAATTATAAAATATTTATTATCATCATCCTCATCATTTTTTAAAAGAAATATTAGTTATAAAACTTTTAAAATTATTCATATTTTAAATACTTACCCTTAAAGTTTTCTTATACTAGATTATACGTATTATGTAATTTCATGCAAAAATCAAAATAATTTTATTAAAAATGAATAAACATAATTAATCGTTGTTAAAATAATAATAATTAATGAATTATAATTCATTTGATCCCTCAAATGTAATTAAAAGTTTATTTTAATATTTTTTATATTTTAAACAATTAGTTTTAAAAGTCAATATTTTTTTCAAAAATATTTGAATAAATTTTTCAAAAATATTTATTATTATCATCATCATCATCATTTTGTAAAATAAATACTAGTTATAAAACTTTTATAAAATTATTCATATTTTAAAATACTTACCCTCAAAATTTTCATATACTAGATTATATGTATTGTGTAATTTCATGCAAAAATCAAAATTTGTCGAGTTATAAAATAATTTGCAAAAGAAAATTTAAAGATTTTAATGTAGAAATATTTTTTGCACACACAAAAAAATAAATAAATAATGTTGACGGTTTTACACAAATATTACCCTAATAAAAATTAATAACATGTTATGCACCATTTTAAAAATATTTATAAAACTAGCATCTTAATTTTTTACACATTTTACAAGGCGCGGTGCATGGACCACGCCTTACCTGACTTGACGCCACATCATCGCATGCACCGCGCATTCCTGCAAAGGGTGTTAGATCGGGAAATAAAGATGAAAGGGTGTCTGACAGGGAAATAAAGTTTGTCAGGGTGATTTTTTGGGAAAATCGACGGGTAATAGGCCTAAAAATATAATTTTTAGAATTTTTAAGATATTTGAGAAAAATTGTGAGCATTACAATTTTAAATTTTTTGTTTTAAATATATTTTTTTAAAATTTATAAACGTGATACACGTCATATAAATATTGTTTTAATAGTTTTGACGGGATATACACCTAAAAATATAGCGTTGAAGACGTTAAACTCCTACTTTAAACGAAAAATACTTTAAACACCGAAAATAAACAAAGATATAATTTGAGCACCTATTTTTCATTAAACAAGTTATAAACATGTTTATACTTCCTATGTGGGGTTTTTGGCCCCCTTTTTTTGGCTCAATAGGGTACAAGTTTAAATTATTTGGCCAATTAAGGCAGCTCAAAAATTAATTTGTGATCTATAACATTTTTTCACAGTCCATGGTGAACTCGTCACCTCGACGTGTCGAGTTTCATGTGATATAATTTTTACATTTTGGGTATAATATTTTAATATTTCATGTGGAACGAGGTGACGAGTTCTATTTAAATATTTTTCTCCAGATTATTATGCGAATTTATTGTTGGAAAGAAAAATACATTAGAACTCATGACGTCGAGGTGAAGAGTATAGTTAATTTTTTTTGGTTCTCCAAAATGTGGTAGATTATGTTTAAAAATAATAATAAACTATGAACATTAGATTAGACATTCATAAATGCACATTAGGAAGAAAAAACTACAACTTAATACATTAACATAAGGACGTAAATAAGACTAACCTTACGAACACCATAAACATTAAATAAAATCATTAACATAGCAGTATTGATTTAGAAGTTTTAATCTTCGTAATCAATAGACTCGTCAGAGGTAAGATTAAGTTCTTCAATTCCCCATTCTTTTTGTTGTTGTCTTTCACGTACGAATTTGAACCATGCTTCTAAGTCTCCATCATCTATGTTTTTTGGTCATTTGTCTGAGTTAGTGGGATATTCGAGCTGGAAGCAACATCCTCAATGGTACGAGCAAGGTCTAGATCATTGAACTCTACAAACAAATCAACATTAGAGGAAGAGTGATAGTAATATGTTTCAACCATTCCAGCAAGGTTTACATCACTGTTTAGATGAAACCTTGTGCATGATAGTGGAAATCTATAATATAAGAAATATACTCTTCTATTGCTTATGGGTAGAACTCTTGTTTTTATATTGAACTTCAACTCGTGTAGTTGAATGTTTTTGGGAAACACATGATTATAGATTTGTAATCATAAAAAAATAGTTGCACAAATAGTTGACATGTTTGAAAAAAAACTCAAACTTTGGAAGTGAAAGATTGAAGGTGTTTTTTTAATTCAATAGTAGAGTAAAATGGCTTTCAACTCACACATATTAATAGATGATGGAGAAAATTAAATGAACATTGAAAAGTTAGTGAAATGGGTCAATATTTGGCCTATGAGAAACACAAATTTTTTTGATATAAAATGATAAATGCACCACAAAAAAGTTTTATGATTTGAGTTGATACATCACTAAAAAATTGCAGAAGATGAAAATGTACCACTATTTCACCCATTGTCTGAAAAATTGTTTAAATTATGCATTAAATGGCCTCTGAAAAGTTGCAGAAGATGACAATGCACCACTATTTCACCTGTTGTCTGAAAAGTTGTTTAAATTATGCATTGAATGACCTCTAAAAAGTTGTAGAAGATGATAATGCACCATTATTTCACTCGTTTTCTAAAAATTTATTTAAATTATGCATTCAATGACCTCTGAAAAGTTGCTGAAGATGATAATGAACCACTATTATTTTTCCTACTGAGATGACATTTCATTGGAGAGTTGTTAGATGGTAATTAATGATTGGTTATATTTGTTTTAAATTTGATCACTTCACATGAATCTTCACAATACTTGTTATTTTTACAATTGTATTGAACAAACAAAAACCAATCTCTCTTCGAAGCTATGGTAAACAAAGCTTTTCACAGTCATCCACCCAAATGGCCAAGTTTTTGAAACTGAAGATGGTGTTCAGTTCATATTAGAGAGGCCTATGAACATGATGTTCCAAGTAGATGTATCTCATCTACAATTGAAGATAAAAATGAAAAAAAAATAAAGGTTATGTTTCAAGTTTGAGATATAGACACATCATTTCAGAGACTCTGCTCAAATATGGAGTAATCATGATCGATGATGATGACAATGTAGCTGTTATGGTTGTCCTTGATCAATCTTCCAATAATCAAATAATTGAGATTATTACTGAAACTGCATATGTTCCTACTTCATCAACTACTGCACCAGTGACCACATAAGCAGAACCATCAGATATAGATAACCTCATCGGCCAATTCGGTGAAATCCCTAACGATTCAGAAGGTGTATAACTTGGCAACTAAGATACCCCGGGAAAGATGGGCACGAACATATGACGATCAAGGTCAACGTTACGATCATATGACTACCAATCTTGTCGAGTGTATCAATTCAATGTTAAAAGGAACTAGACATATTTCGGTGGAAAGTATTGTTTGGGAGACATAATTCATATTGGGTAAAGTTTGAGCAGACAAAAATGCCCAATTAGAGGCAATGCTCAACGAAGGTACAAATTGAGCTCCAGATTTGGAGAAAACAACGACCAAAAATCAAACTCATGCAACATCAATGTATGTTTGTAATTTCACTAGACTTGAATCTGATTATATTGTCCAAACACTTGTTCGACCACATGAGGGTGGGACTTCTGCCACCTATACTAGTAATATGAATTGAAGATGGTGTGATCGTGGTCGATTTCAAGCCTTTAGATACTCATGTGTTCACGCAGTTGTTGTATGTATGCATGTGAATTTAGACCCATACATTTATGCTGATGATTGTTATAACTTGCATACTATGCGCAACATATACAATTACGAGTTTAAGGATCTCCCAAATGATACATATTGGCCACCTACTGTCTCTGAAAAATGGTTGTCTGATCCATAATTACGAAGGAAATTGAGGGTTCTTCCTGAATTTAGTCAAATTCATACTAATATGGATGACCCTCAAAGAGAGCAAGGTAAGTCGAAGCTATGTGGCCACTGTAGAGTTTAAGGCCACAATAGGAAGTACTATCTACATCTCCCAAGATATCGAGTAACATGATAAATCCTTTGTAATTGTATTCACATGTTGTATTAGTTGTACAAATATCAATGATAATTTAACAAATATTCTTCCCGCAAGTGCATGTTTTGGTTCTCCTATAAATCTATCAACTAACCCAACTCCTATTTATAGTTAAAATTTGAAGAAATGAACGTTGGAACTCGTCATGTCGATGTGAGGAGTTCCAATGTATTTTTTCTTTCCAACAATAAATTTGCATAATAATATAAAAATAATAATAATTTTTTAATCTAAGTGACGAGTTCCATTGGAAATATTAAAATATTAAGCCCAAAATATAAAAATTATATCCCGTGTAACTCGTCACATCATGAGTTCGCCATGGACTATAGAAAATATCGTATATCCCAAATTAATTTTTGAGGTGCCCTAATGGGGCAAATAATTTAAGTGTGAGCCCTATTGAGCCAAAAAACATCCTACATGAACATCTTGGATATGTACCATTATGAAAAGAGGTAAAGTATGCAAATAGTCCCATGAATATAAGGTGATACTTTGTTAAGTCATCCGACTATTAAAAGTTACAAAATGATCCTCTGATTATATGGTATTACTTTATTGAGTCCATTGACTATTAAATATAATGATCATTTGACTATTCATATATTCCAAACTCGTCTTTTTCCTTTTAAAAAATGGTGGTTGTCTGAGTTGAACGCTAATATACTGATTGGAATATGATAAAAATCATATTTTAATCATGCCTAACTGGCACCTTCGTTACTTCCAAGCACTGGCTAGACGATATAATGTTTTAAGCATTGGTTCAACAACATAATATAAACAGAGATTCGATCCACAAAAACTCAAACGGTTATAATATCATATTTTTGTTATCATGTCTCAATCAACATGTTTACGTCCAACTCAGACTATCGCCAAATTCTTCATGAAAAAATAAGTTTAGAACATATGAATAATCGAGTGATACTTTTGTAACTTTTAATTGTTAGAAGACTTAACAAAATAGCATCCTATAGTCGGAGGACTACTTTTTAACTTTTAATAGTTAGGAGACTCAACAAAGAAGCACCCTATAATTGGAAGATCATTTATTTGCTTTACCCTATAGAAAAGACAATTTCATTGATCCGTCTATGTTGAAAGTATATGCATATATATAATTTGATTCACTTGTGTGTATATAATTTGATTCACGTAATTTAAATATATTTTACACCATAACTAAAATAATGTCCAATTTAATGACAGGGATAACATAAAGACTTCATCAATACAATAATATTTTGAACATTCTAAAATTTGAAATAAATAACTTATTTTGATTGAAACAAAAAATTAAACACCTAAATAAAATAAGTGTTATAATTTCGGTATTTATTTTTCAACTAAATCTTACTAAAATTATCAAAATAATGATCACTTAATTATGTAGCGATTTTAATTTAACTATTGATCTCATGTCACTTAATTATTTAAATAATATAAGCTGTATATGATTAACATTAAACAGAGAAGTTAACATAATAGTTAAGATTTTTATATAATTATATATTTAATCATTTTACTTATATATTATATCAATTTGGTCCTAATATTAATTGAATTCAATAAAATTAATTATCTAATCAAATGGTGACACAAGATAGAACTAAATTAAATTAAATTAAATTAGGATTAAATTGATAGAATGGATAAATAATGGGAATCAAATATGTAACTATATTAATTTTCAACTGCCGTGTCATCCTCTATGTTAAATGTTAATGACATGTGACTTGATTGATATCATTTAAATAGTTAAATGATATGATTAAAAAAAATTGACAGATCAATAATAGAATTCAATTCTTCTCATAATTAGATGATCATTCGTGTAATTTACCCTAAAATTAAAGTTGAAATAGCTTTGAGCCCAACTTGTGATACGTTCATGTGTTCCTCCAACTCAACCTCACCTGTCATCAATATAATTAATAGGGAAAATGAAAAAGGAAAATAATAAATTGAGAAAGAGTGGAAATCTTGTAGTTTGTGTAGAATAATTGGATAATCGACCTTAACTAAGTACAAAAGACCTGCAACTTGCCCATCCACTTGCAGTGTACAGCGTAAGCTCTTGCATTTGCATATGAAAATTTAGAAACTATTTTAAACCTTGTCCTTTTTATATTTACGATACACTAATCCGAAACCCACAAAATTCTTCACCTCCTTAGCTAACCCACATAAGCATGCCTTCCTCCTTGCAGCTCCACCGCTCCACAACCACCTTCAGCGGCGGCTGCCACCACAAACAGCAAGCTCACCTCACCACACTGACAAGTTGTTTCCTTCTTCCTCACGATGTGTCGCTTCCGGAGACGGTCTCATCGTACCACGTGCATACCCTGAGACCGAACCAGTGTAATTCCGCGGTGGTTCAAGCCATGGAAGCCCCAGTGGATACGGTCTGGTCTTTGGTTCGTCGGTTTGATAACCCCCAGGCTTACAAACATTTCCTCAAGAGTTGCCATGTGATCGTGGGTGACGGGAACGTGGGTAGCCTTCGTGAAGTACAGGTGGTGTCGGGTCTCCCAGCGGGTTCCAGCACGGAGAGGTTGGAGATCCTGGACGATGAACGTCACGTGCTTAGCTTTAGCGTGGTGGGAGGCGATCATCGGTTGAGAAACTACAGGTCGGTTACAACCTTACACGCTTCACCGAATGGTAAAGGCACGGTTGCCGTTGAATCATTCGTTGTTGATGTACCGCCTGGTAATACCAGAGAAGATACCTGCATTTTTGTTGATACAATTGTACGCTGCAACCTTCAATCTTTGGCTCAATTGGCTCAAAACATGGCTAAAACACAAAACTCTTTCTCCCCTTAATCATGTTAATTCTCTTTAACTCTTTTCTTTCGTCTTCAAATAGACCCATGATGAAGTTGAAGATGATGATCAGTTCTTATTACCAGAGGGGGTTTAATTCTTCACCATTTTCTTTTCCTTTCTCTGTGTAATTATGAATGTGTTTGTACAATTCTACTCACATTATTACCTTCTTTGTTTGCCCTTGCATTCCTTGTTATATTATGATTTCGTAATATGCTAAGAAACGTTTGGTATTTACCCAACCCTTGGCCTTACAACAAATCTTTTCACCATGCATTAATATATATTACTTCATAAGTTTTAAAGGTATAATTCACAATTTTATTATTTTAGAAATGTTAAATGTGATTTTAGTATACATCAACTTAAAATTTTATATTTTTTGTAAAGAGATTTAAGAATAATTTTACATTAAAACACAAAAGCTCGCCCCTAGATTAGTAGAATATGTGTAAGCCCCTGGATTAATAGAATATCTCTCACATGGTGAAGTACAAGAAAATGTTACAAATGGATTAACCTCTGGTACAAAGTATTATTAAGATATTCCAATTTTTAATGATTTAATTATTTGGGGAGTTTGATGGATATGTATAATGAAATATTGACCAAGTAATACACCGCAAGTACACCAATGCACTCAATGTTGCTCCATGTTTTTTTTCCTAGTTATATTTTGCTTTATATTTAAGTTCAAAGTTCGATATTATTTTTCATAATAATACTATCATCTTTAAGATGCAAATCTGAATTCTTTTATCAAGAACATGTAATATTTATTAATTATTTTAAGGAAATATTTTTAATGTAATAAGTTAATCATTGATACATGATGTATTTATTTTACAATAAATAAATCATTTAAATTGTAAACCTAAATTTATATATTAATATGAATCCAAAAAAAATGTCGATTTGAATCTTGAAATAAAATTCAAATACTAAATTAAAGCCCAAAAAAATTAAGGTCGCATATGCATAATTATCCCAAAAAAAAAACAATACAAATGTTTGTTGAGAGAGAGAATGAACAAGCACTACAACAAATCTGGCTTTTTGCGACTTTTTTTTTACCTATAGCGGCGTTTTTAAACACCGCAAAAAACACATGTGGCGTTATGAAAACGCCGCAAAATACGCCGTTGAAAATAGCGCCGCTAAAGTTTACAGCGTTTGTTAACCAAAAACGCCGCAATAGGTAACGATATATAGGTACCGATATTTAGCGGCGTTTGTCTTAAAAACGCCGCAATTGGTGTCAATATTTAGCGGCGTTTTTATTACAAACGCCACAATAAGTGTTGATATTTCGTGACATTTTTTATGAAAACGCCGCAATTGGTCTGGTATTTAGCAGCGTTTTTAGGGTACAAACGCCGCTATAGGACTGGAATATAGTGGCGTTTTTAGGATACAAAAGTCGCGATATGTCTGTTATATAGCGGCGATTTTAGGATACAAACGCCGCTAAAAGTTGGTACATAGCGACTTTTTTTTGATACAAACGCCGCTAAATATGTGACATATTGCAGCGTTTTTATTACAAACGCCGCTAAATAACATAGAATTTAACCAATTAAAAAATATTGTCGATTACCCCAAATCTTTTTTTCAACCTGTTTCATTATCCAACATCAAATCTAATATAATAAATAAAATGTTTCATTAACGTAATATAAGTTCAGTTAAACACGGTTCAGTAACATTAACAGAATGCTGATAACATAAATGAGACTATGATGGTGGATTTTGAGGTTGAGTTTTCTGTAGCATCTGCATCATATCATTGAGTCGTTTTTTAAATTCTTCACATCTCTGCTTATATGTTGTTTCTCTCTGTGCTGTCGCTGCTTCCCTTGCTTCATTTTCCGCTTTCATGTTAGCCATTTGTTAATCCATATCAACCAACTTTTGTTTTAAACGACTAACTTCTAATTGAGAAGATTGAGACTGTGATGAACTGGATCCAAAATATTTTCTGGGAGTAACAAATGATCCTTGACAGCGCACCCGATCATATCTTTCAGGACCCAAAACGTCATTAATAGCTCGATTTTCAATGTCATCATCATTAACAAGACCTTGACTTGAACTAGTAGCGTGATACTCTGCCCTTTTCTCCCTCAATTTTTCCTAATAATAAGGTGAATAAATAATTAAAATGGCAAAAATGCCATGGTATAAATTTAAATAAAGTGAGGTAAATTTAAAACATCTACCTAATAAACGTACCATAATTTCTGCAGCTTCAGCAGTCATAGGAGTGCCATCCTTTTTCGTATGTGTCATGTCGAATAGTTGGATTCAGCCAACTTTAGAACCGGATGTATTTTCCTACAATGCACCATAATATAATTACTAAGAGTTAATATGTACATGGAATACAAAAAACAATGTCAAAAATCTATAATACCTCCTCAGTAGCTATACAAGCAAAGCTCTTTGATCCAGCCGTGTACGTAAACTTTTGTTGTTGCCTGCTAGCAACACCAACATGATCTCGGTCCTACAATGTCAAACAAACACTTTTAATGATGATTTATAATTTGTTACAATTATTAATGAAAAATACATCATACCTATCCTTTTTGTGAACTCCAAAATCTGATTATATCTTCCCATTGGTACATGAGCATTCCAGGTAGGACTGTTTGCAACTTTTCTCTTCTAGGCTGAGATCATTCTTGAAGTATTTCTTCTTTAAGGAGCTCTTGTGGTCCCTCCATCTCTTCCCTAATGCTTGCTTCACATAATTGTCAGAAACCTCTAAAGAAAATTTCTCCTATACAACAAATAAGTGTGTACCGTAAGTATACATTAGTATTGAATTTCTATAGAGTATATAATAATAATGACATTATTACCTTAACAAAATCCAACGCCTGATTTTTGTTACTATTAGGCATTTCGCGCCACGACTCATAATTGATCGGTAACAGATTCGCATTACGTCCAACTATGCCTAAGTAACCTACTAGAAGACGTGCTTCTGGGCCAATAGGTTAACCGACATCGTTTCTTGAAACTTTGACACGATGCCCAGGAGGAAGTTGATATAATTCCTTCAAAGTTGTATGTCCTCGAGTCTTGCGCGTTCCAGCATTTTCAACTATATAAGAAATTATTAAATGTCAGTTTTGAAAATGAACAAAGTAGTAAATAAAGTTTCGAAGATTACCTTGAATTTCTACTTCTTCTTCAACAGTTTCAGGAACTTCGAAAGACTCAGGTGCATTCGATTCCTCGTTATTTCTTTCTTCATGGTCTTCAGAAGCTCAAACAACCCGCAAATCAGTAATTTTTCTCATCGGCATGATATCTGTAATAAAAAAACATGTATAATAAAAAAACTCATTAATTAATGAATATATTGAAAGACAACATGCTAAAGGTTATAACATTATAAATAAATAAATAAATGAAGATATAAAATCGTACGACATTCTTATGTAATGTCAGCCCTCATAAATATCTTCATCAACTTCCTCCCGAACTCATTGAAATTGTGTTGTATTTATGATAGTTTCATCTTAGTTTTGTGATAGTAGAGGTAAACATTCTGATCTTGTTTCAATTTCATCTCTACTTCCATCCCCGATGTCTAACAAGTCTCTTGAGTATTTCGGAGCACAATATTTCAATCGTCATCCATTGGATCGTGACAATAAAATACTTGTTTCACTTGCGAAGAAATACACATGGTTCATCCATCAAACGTTGACCCGTGTGTATTAATCAAGAGAAATTCACCATTGTAAACCCGAATTTATCTATTTTTATGCATCTGTTTTACATCAACCCAGTCACACCGAAATAATACAACCTTTCATTTTCCATAATAATCTAACTCAATAATGTCCGTAAGATTTCCATAATAATCGACCTCTCCCTCGTGCGGATTATTGTCCCTGACAATAGCATAACTTGTAGTCGACGAAGTAACTATGACTCCATAATTTTGGGTCCTCCTTAATCTTTCACGAGATTTCGTGTGGAACCTGAACCCATTAATGAGGAAGGCATTATATCTTTTAGCTATTCTATTCGGACCTTGAGAAATCCATTTAACATCTTCACTAACTTCTCTCCCACTCCAAACCTATTACACATGAATAATGAATTAATTTGCATTGATGTCGATATAAATAGCAAGACATATATTATTTATAAGTATTCCGTAAAATTTAGTTGCTTAACGTCTAGCCTAACCATTCATGAAAAGTTTATGTGAATAACTTATACAGCTCGCGCTGATTTAATCTTCGGGAGTGTGCACGAGATCTCAATACTTCTTTAAACTCACTATAAAGTATATTATGTTGTTAAAATTGATATATATAAAAGATTAAGAGATTTCATATAGCCTACGTGCGAAAGGGATCTATTGAATCATGATGGAAAAGAACATATCGGTGTGCTTGTACCCAAGACGTGTCATCTAAGTGTGCAATTTCAACTTTCCCTAATGGTTGACCATAACTTCCAAACAAATAATGTTCAGGGAAGTCATTAGTACTTAACACATCATTTCGATTTGGTCTATTCCATCTTGTTTCAATATCTTCCAAATATCATGAGCAAAATGTCATACATTCCTCTTCCAAATACCCTTCAACAATTGATCCTTCCGGATAACGCTTATAACGACAATAAGACTTCAACTTGCCCAAGAACCTATACACAAAGCAACATACTACATAAATACATTTTATTAAAAGGAATAATCAGTAGTAATTTGAAACGTGTAATTCAATTAACACCTCTCTATAGGTTACATTCATCGATAGAAAACTGGTCCACCAACTCTTGCTTCGTGAGGAAGATGAATTAGCAGATGCACCATAATTGTGAAGAATGAAGGCAGAAATATTGTAACATCCTCAATACCGGGTTAGTGATCAAATTGAAATATTTCAGAATTTGTGGGTCAGTAAAATAGTTGAATAGTTTAATGATTTATTGGGGATATTTCCTGAAAGTATTTATGTTAGGATTTTCGGAAGCTCGAATCGACAACCGGAATGGTTTGCAAAGAGGGGTTGGAACGGTTTTGTGTTTAGGGAGTAAGGAGATTGAAAAACAGAGAATTGCACA